TTGACTGTGAAACGTTTCTTCCAAAACAAATTTTTATACCGTCGCCACTTCTAGAGTTGTCGCTTGACTACATATCTGAGGCACTAGCATCTCCCGATGGAGGCGGGTGCCACGGCCGGAGCAGCCGGGCGGGCGGCTTAGGCAGCGGCTTAGGCGGTGGCCGCTGGGTCTGGTGTACCACCGGCGCTAGGACAGATGCATGCGGCGAGTAAAGGGTAGGCGAGGCACAGGTCATGTCGGTCGACGGCGTCTGGCGCCTTCAAGCACGCAGGACACGCTGGACCTGAGGTGGCGGACGCTGCTGGTGGCGTCTTGGCCAGCCCAGCGGCGGACGTCTTGCGTGGGCCAGCGGTGGCGGACGTGTGGGTTCTTGTCTCCCCTTGTACTCTTGTCTGTTCTTATATATATAGTCGCACCTTGTTCTTGTGTCTTCCTTGTCAGTGGCGGACCCAGGATCTGACATCAGGGTAGTCCTAGTAAAAAAATTTCATGTGTAATACAATAAAATTCAAACAAAAGTTCGACAAACTTAGCTATAAATTAACCAAATTATGATAATACATTTAAAAGGTTGGAAACTTACATAAATACTCCCTCCATACTGGTAAAGAAAGTCGTTTAGGACATGATTTAGCATACAAGGAGTGATTAATTAAGGGGTATTTTCCCTGTTTTCCCTTATTAAATAGGGTTGCGGGTATTGCCTATCCAACAAACTTTCGTAGCTGGACTGGTAAGTGCGCTGCAGCCCGAGGCAGGAGGTCCCCCGGTTCGATCCCTCTCAGGCGCGTTATTATTTTGAAGAGCTTGTGGATTTGCGGTGTCTTCGGCCTGGACTGAGACGAAGGAGAGCATTTGGGCCAGTTTCTCAAAAGTAGTAATAGAATTTTGGGCCAAATTTGTGGGTAGTCCTGGGCCTATCCAGGCTACCCACTGGGTCCGCCACTGTTCCTTGTGACGGCGTTGGTGGCATAGCAGAGGCGGTAGCCTTCCTGTTACTCCAGCGCCAGAAGGGATGGGTGTTTAGGGTCTCGCATTTCTAGACTTTCACGTAGCGTTGGCTTGGATGAGGATTGCAGAGCCTCTTTTTATAAGGGTTGTGCAACGGGGGGCCACAAGCCTGCAATCTCAACCAAACTTGTGTTTGTGACTCTGATCAAGTCACGTGTTTGGTGTCCTCACCGTTGCCTAAAATCAACCCAACAATTGTGTTTTAAAAAACACCGCCTTGCAAGTTTAGAGCAACACTGCCTAAATTATGTGCGCGTTTACTATTTATTGTACACAATTTGGACCGATAGATTTATATAAGCCCAAAGTACTTTTGATATAGTATTAATTTTACATCCATCAACAAATGTAAAATCTACATTTGAAGGCTTTCTTCTACCTATAAGAAACGTAATTGTAATGAATGAAGAGGAATACTAAATCGTAATGAAGAGGAATATAAAACGTAATTTTACATCGATTCTAAATTCTTTTTTTTTTGTAGATTATTGGCTACAAATAGAATGTTGCATAGATCAGGATCAAAATATTATTTTTATATGATATAACACACGTTCAAATTTGAACATATGTTCTTATGTTATATGTTTTTCGGTTGCAATATATGAAAATATTTTTTGGTACTTATTTATTTGGACTTACAAATTATAATTTAGCACTCTTTTCATCCCAAAATGAGTCTTCATCTTATATTTCAAGGAGTTAAACAATTTTATTAGTACTCTCTTAATCTAATGATACTTATCTAGTATCACAAATATTTTTCATCTTTTAGTCAAAGTTAAAAGTCTTTGATACTATTTAATCATGTCATATGTTTTCATACTAAACCTATTTGGAAATACAGATTTTGATACTATTTTCTTCAAATTTAGTTATAGTTGAGATTAATTAACTATTTTAAATGTGAGAGGAAGATTTATTTTGGAAAGCAGGGACTAATATTTTTTCTAAAATGTACTGGTGTGATGATAAATAAAATGTACTGCTGCAGTGCTCCCGTTTCCAGTCCACGCCATCTGAAAAAAAGGTAATGCTTACTCTCCGCATCTCCCGTCTCTTCTCTCAAAAATATCTCTTGATTGCTCTCGCCCATCGCGTGCTGCTTTGCGGCGTGCGCTCGAGGCTGCCGTCTTCCCTATCGCACCCTCCATCTCGCACTACACGGCTCCCCATCCAGCGTTAAGCCCATCCCCTGCCGTGTTCTGCTCCAAATACGCTACTGTCACAAGCAGCCCATTGTTGCGCACCATGCCGAGGTGCTGCCAACGCCATCACGTACTACACCAAAAGGCCGTGGCCGTTGCCGACGCCATGGCCGCCGCGATGTGCGACCTCAACAAGGAGATGATGTGATGAAAGCGCATGTTGTAAGCGCATGAAGTGTTTTAGACGTTTTCAGAGGTATGTTGCAATTGTTTCATATGGATGTTGCAAAAGTAGATCGGGAGATTGCATATGTTGTAAGTGTTTCAGAGGCATATTGCAAATGTTTTATAGGTTTGTTCAAAATGTTTCATCTGTTCCAGACGTATGTTGCAAGTGTTCTGATCTAAATGTTGCATATGTTTTACACATATGGTGCAACAATATATTCCAAATGTTTCAGTTGTTTCAATCTTATATTGCAGTAAGTGTTTTCATGTTGCAAATTGCAAATGTTTCATCCGAATGTTGCATAAGTTTCACATGTATGTTGCAAGTGTATGTTCTATATGTGTTCATCTGTTGCATACGTATGTTGCATTCAAGTATTTCATGCTGTACATCTTTCATATTGTTCAGCGCGGGGAGTGATGGTGGCACGGCGCGGGCACCGGGGAATGGGCGCGTGGCGATTTAGTCAATGCCGACGGACGGGGTGCGCTCTAGGCCGACGATCGAGGCGCGATGAGGGTGGGGTGCGAGTACGGAGTGGGGCGAATGGGGTGAGCTGTGGGCCTGTCCGCATGAACTACTTTTCAGCCGAGGCGGTCTACTTCAATTTATTTTTCCTCACAAAATACTATTGAATCAGTCGAAACCAGCCGACTTTAATATCAGTGGAACAGTCCCTGTGAGTACGATGCGAGTCCTCTAGACACGTGGACGCTACGACGGGGTGGAATGCTCGTACGGGTCGAGAAAAACCCAGGCTACGTGGGCCTGCGAACGTTTCCGCCCAGACGCGAGCACCTCGGTCTCAAAAAAAACCCTGCGTGAAATTTGCCACCACACTCGCACCCGCACGCGGCCACCGTTCCCAATCCCCGTCGTTTCCGTCACGCCGCTCCTGGGCCCCACACGGCTACACCACCCCAACTCCAACGCTGCCGGCCCAACCCCTCACGGCCACATAGCCGTTGTTGCACCCAATCCTCTACCATTCAGAAGTCCAAATCCTACCCTACCGCCGCCGCCCAGACCCTAGAGCCGCCATAGATGACAGACCCGCTCGCCGCCGCCTAGAACCTTGGACTAGAAGGAGGAGCTGTGTCCGGAGAGACAGGGAGTTGCGATCGGCGGGAAGGAGGGCAAGGAGCTGGATCGTGCCGCCATTGTTGCTGGGAAGGGTCATCGGGAAAAAGGAGGTCCGCGTACGTGGTACGTGTCGCCGTGGAAGGGATGCTTGAAGGATATAAGGGAAGGAGGAGATCTGTGTCTGTGCCGCTGAGCAAGGAAGTCTTCAAGGTGAGAAGAAAAACATTTCTCTTATATCAGTGCTTTGGTTTACTTCTTGTGCGCACCGTGAATGCGGTCTGCTTAATTGGATTGCGAAATGTATTAAATTAAACGTGGCTTTAGATATCGATTTCGTAAGGCTACGTTGGGTCATCTAACGATAACTCTTTGGGTTACGATTTATGTGTGCACGTGCAAAAATAAATGCTAAGCCACTTTGTTGATTTGTTTAAGTATGATTCGTGCACCAAGATACTTGTGGAACAAACTGTATATAGCAGCTTCTGATGTGTCCATGATCTCTACAGTGCAGCTGTTTAAGAGAATTAAACTATTAGGTTGTTCATTCCCAATGATTGTTTGAAAAAATAAGTATGTTTCGTGCACCAAGATACTTGTGGTACATACTGTATATAGCAGCTTCTGATGTGTCCATGATCTCTACAGTGCACATGAATCAAACTTAACCCCATGGCTGGTTAGTACCTCATGCTCCTACCTTGCATTGTTTCACTGTTTGCATTTCCTCTCTGTTTTTGTTACTAGTAATTAGCATGTTTGTGTTCTGCATTAAACTTGTTTGCTTGTAAGTTTCACAATACACATGCTATCCGTGATGGTGTGATGTGCACAATGACATGCTAACTCGTTTCAGTTTATTGTTGCCAAATTAACTATGATAGTACTCCCTCCATTCTAAATTATAAGACATTTGGGCTTTTCGAGATACATAAGTTTTGCTATGCACTTATATATACACTATGTCTAGATACATAATAAAAGTAATGTATCTAGAAAAGCAAAAATGTCTTATAAATTGGAATGGAGGGAGTAGAAGACTGTACTCTTTTTTTTTTTGAAAAATAGAAGACTGAACTTGGATGTTCCTAGGATGGAATGGCAATGGTTTTCTACACCACGCTTTCAGTGGTGCCCCTCTGCTTAAAAATCCACAGTAATTTGTCCTCTAGATTGGCACAATCGAATGGACCGTGCGCTTATAATAACAAGTGCATATTTTATCTTTTGTCTGACAAATTGCAGATTTTAAAGAGTTTGTTACTCAGAACTATACTTGTGGGCTTTCTAATAAAGCTGCAGGACCGTGTATGTCCATAAAAACCAGACATCTACAGCGATATTCACCTCCTTTGTTTTCTGTCATCTAAGATTTCTAGATCACAGTGGACATCTCCAGCAGCAGCCGCCGTCGCCACTGCAAGAATCCTCCCTCAGAGTCATCTGTCCTTGGTGAGGTGAGAGACTGGGCGGCACTGCCTGACGATGTGCTGCTCAACATCTTTCTGAGGTTGGGGTCCTGCAAGATCATGTGGGGGGCAGAGGCTGTGTGCAAGGCATGGCGGTGTGTCACGGTCAAGGAGCCTGAGCCAGAATGGTCATCCATTGAAATTGCTGTGATTGATGCTTTGGACCGCAGTGCAGGGCTGTGTGAAGCATTCTCAGGGCCTTGGGACGATGAGTCGCTGCTCTATCTGGCTGAAAGGTTTATCTATAGAACCATCTTCTTTTTATCTAATGTTGTCGTATAATTGATCAATAACTCATGTTTTATGTATATTGCTTGTAGCAAATTCTTCAATCATGAACATCTTTTTTACATTTTCTAGATGGTGGCATTGTTTTTACCGTATGCTTCTTCATGAAAGATCTTGCAATCATAGAAGTTTTATCAGTTGTTACTCTACTAAGGTGTTCTATGCTAGCACCAAATGATGAGCACCGCACATAGTTTTTGAGAGGAAAATCACAATGCTAGACAAATGCCATTCAATAAAAATTGCAAGGGTTCTTGTATTCTTGTGTTTCATACTCTCTTGCATGACTTGTAACTTGTTATTAATTACTCCCTCCATTCCAAATTATAAGACATTTTGGTTTTTCTAGATACATAGCTTTTGTAATGTACTTAGATATACACTTATATCTAGATACATAGTACATGGCATAATAAGTCCACTTGATCATCTAGTATTTGTTGCTTGCAATACTTACACAGTTGGTTACATTGTGTTCATGAATCGAGTTAATGTTGAACTCTAGGAGGTTCAATCTCCGCATCGTGGAATCTAATTTGGGGGCATTCACTACTCCAGGTCACCCTCTTTGAAAATGCTCCATATTCATCTATCATGTGACATGGACGCATCCTATGAAGTATTGATTGAAGCGATCAAGCAGCTCCCTCTCCTTGAAGATCTTGAAATTTCACCCCCATATAAACATATTAGCGCTTCTGACAGGTTGTTTCGATCTGTATGCAAAGCTCTTCTGCTTCTCAAGAATCTCCAGTGACAACATGATTTTCCCGATGCCCTGCTGTCGGTGCAGAAAGTGACCAACACGTAAATATTTATAGTTTTGCCGTATATTGTGATCAGAGGTGGCCTAGCACTCAATGATATAGGGTTTATACTGGTTCATACAACGTGCCCTACGTCCAGTTTCAGTCGGTCGGTGGCTTTATTCCTGAGCCCAGGTGCTCGAAGTTTGCAGTGGGGTTATAAACGAAAAGGAGAAAGATGGGGGTACAAGAGGTCCGGTCGGACTCCGGTCAGAAGGGCTGAGAGTGACGGGAGCTCCACTATGTGCTAAGTGTTCGAGCGTGTGCTTGTGGTTTGAACCTGGTGGTTCTGCTGTTGTGTACTAGCGAACTTGATCGATCTGAATCAACCTATCTATTGGGAGATAGCTCATCCCCTTTTATAGATGAAGGAGATGGCCTTACAAGTGAGAGAGAGATAGTACGTATGTTACTAAGCCTTGTTGCCGACGCCGGCGGGTATAGGATGATGGTAGGCGCCCACAATACTGTTGAATGTCAGATGCACGTGGAAGGTTGCGTCGTCGTCTTCAGGTATGGTAGATGTCGATACCTGCCATACTGTTGATGCCAGGGGCATGTGAGGGGTTTTACCATGTTTGCCTGCTACGGTAAATGCCGGCGCCCACAATACTGTTGATGCCTCAGAGGCACGTGGGAGAGCCTTACCGTATTTGTCTGGCATGGGAGTTGATGGCGCCCACAATACTATAGGGGAAAATGTCGGCGCCTACAACACTGCTTGGGCTCTGTCATGTCAGGGAGGTCATAGGGTACTGTACTGTAGGTGTACAGGGTATGGTCCTCGGTATTGCAGTTGACTTTGTGTGCCTTACCTTACTTTCTTCGTCTGTTTCCTAGTCCCTACCGAGCGGGCGTCCCCAGTCGGCTGGTCCCAGTCGGCTCTGATTGCGTCAGCCGGAGAGGAGTTGTAAGCAGGGGTTCGGTGCATCCCCAGTCAGAGAAGAGGGTCGGAGTCAGAAGTGGTGTTGGGCCAGGCCTTTCGGTCGGAGAGGCCATCTGGAGATTGAAGCGAGCGCTCCGGTCGGAGAGGCGGGCTGGAGTCAGAAGCGGGTGCCGTTCCTCCTCGGCCAGGCCTTCCGGTCAGAGATTGGATCGCCCATCTGGCCTATCTTTTAGGTACTTGGGCCAGCCCATGAGTTGCGCGTTGTCTGCTTGGGCCGGGCCTTTGTTGAGAAGCTGGTCCGCGAGGGACCCCGGGTTTATGAACCCAACAGGAGCCCCCGAGCCCCTGGGTGATTCGGGTAGAATCGTCTGGGGGATTTTTGTCTTGACGGCAGGTGCGCGCGAGCGCACCCGCGGGTGTACCCCCGAGCCCCCGGGCGATTCAGCCAGAATTGTCTTGGGGGTTTTCGTGTTGCCAGCGGGAGAGGTTTTTGTTTCGTCTGCGGGTGTAGCCCCCGAGCCCCTGGGCGCTTCAGGCAAAATCATCTGGGGGGTTTTATTTAGCGGGTGTGTGTGCGTGTATTTTAGTCGAGTTAGTTATTTTTTAGGGATTTGGCGAGACGGAGCTCGTGGATCCTGGCGTCGGTGTGCGTCGTGGGATCGGGCGAGTCGGAGTCATAGATCCTGGCGTTGGTGCGTGCCGTGGGATCGGGTGAGTCGGAGTCATGGATCCTGGCATCGGTGCGTGCCGTGGGATCGAGTAAGTTGAAGTTGTGGATCCTGGCGTCGGTGCGTGCCATGGGATTGGGCGAGTCAGAGTCGTGGGATTGAGACAGTTAGTTTAGGGATCAGACGAGATGGAGCTCGCGGGTCTTGGCATCGGTGCACGCCGTGGGATCGAGCGAGTCAGAGTCGTGGATCCTGGCCTTAGTGCAGCTCACAAAGCCAAGGCAGTTAGTCAGTTAGTTTAGGGATCGGGCGAGATGGAGGTCGCGGATCCTGATAGGGCGAGTTCGGGGTCGCAGACCTAGGCGTTTGGGTGTGCAGTCGAGGCATAGTCGAGGGATGGGGCGAGTTTAGGGTAGCAGACCTAGGCGTTTGGTATGCAGTCGAGGTGTAGCTGAGGGATGGGGCGAGTTTGGGGTCGCAGACCTAGGTGTTTTGGGTGTCTTGAGCCCCCGAGCCCCATTTGGGCTTTGGTAGGGGTCGGTTTGAGTTGTGTGCATTACCCCGTCCTCGGTTTCTCACAACCGGAGGGCCTGAGCTTTGTTGCTTGCCTCGATTGCTCGGGCTCGAGTGACGCACTCGGTGAGCTCGCTAATGGGTATGATCGAGTGGAATCCGGGTCCATCGTTCATGATGGGGTCGGCATAGCCCTCTTGTGACATTCTACTGCTCATTTACCTGCAACCCGGTAGATGCCTAGGTCGTTTTAGAGACCGACCCGGGTGGCCTGCTGGCCTCCCCTTGATGGAGATTCTATGGGCTTAGCGAGAGGTTTAGGATCGAATGAGAAGGTTGAGATGACCCTGTCTGCTTTGGGGCAGATGGGGCGAGGGCCGCACGGGGCTCATCTGTGTTTTCTCCCCTAGCTCTGTTTGACGTGGGGTGGCCTCGAGCCCTTCCTAGGCTGGCCTTCGAACCCGATCAGTCATTGCTCATGTTGAATGAGGCAACTGTTGCTTCGTGACGAAACATGGAGTATTGTGATGTGTTTTGCCACATGTGCGATGCTTTAGTTCCTGAGTCCCCGGGCAATTCAGGGCCCGAATCGTCTGGGGGGCACGAGCGTATGGAATGAATGCGTGTATGAATGTAGGAATGATTATATAAAGAAATAGCAGGGGTCGGCAGTGTTACCTTGATGACTCGAGTGACAGGGTTTGAAGAGCTCCAATCGAAAATGTCCGACTGGGACCTATGCTCGTCGTTCGTGACGGAGTCAGCATGGCCTACATGGGGCGACCCTTTGCTCCTTACTTGTCTCTCGGTGTTTTCCTAAGCCGTTCGATCGACTTTAGGAAGCCCGATGGTCTCTCCTGGCGGAGACCCCGTTCTTTGGGTTTTTCCAAGTCCTGCCTGGGGAGGCGGAGAGACGCCGACGCGTGGTGGCACTTTGGTTCTTGTGCCTGGCGTGTGGTAGTGGTGGGCCATACCCAGGTCACATCCCGTCTGATCAGGCGCCGTTCTATCAGGCAGGGCGCGTCTCATCGATCAGGGCGTGTCCCATCGTATCCCATCTGCATTAAAATGGGGAAGGGAAAGGGTTTTTTGCCCGTCGTTTCGCCTTTCCCCAATCAAACCCGACGTTTCGCCTTTCCCCGATCGGCGTGCCTTCCCCAACTGTTGCGCCCTTTTCCTTAAGTAGGAGAAGGGAGAAGGCTTTTTGCCCCGTTCCTTTGCCTATTCCTTATCTGCCGCCTCTTCTCATCTTCCTTCTCGCCGAGAGCATTTGAGAGCCACGGCGGTTCCTAGGAGAGAAGAGGGAGAGGAGAAAACTCACAAATTCATTTGTGAACCCGGAGCAAAATGTCAGGTTGAAGGTCATCCACTATGAGGGAGTCGGTGCTAGAGGCCTTCACCGTGAAGGGGTTTCTGCCGCCGAAGGAGGTGGCGCACTGGAGGGCTCCTGGGAGGGAGGAGTTCCCGCAACCTCGACCCGGCAAGGTGGTTTCCTTTCTCGCCTTCCACGAGCACGAGTTAGGATATCCCATGCACTGGTTCCTGTGTGGGCTCTTCAATGAGTGGGGTCTGGAATTGCAGCACCTCAATCCGACGGGGGTGTTGCATATCGCTGGCTTCATCACCGTCTGTGAGGCCTTCCTCGGGATGGAGCCGCACAAGGACTTCTTTCGACGGCTATTCTCTAGGCGATCTTTGCTAGTGGGTAATCTGCCCAAGGCCGTGTCGGTGGGGGGCTTCACCTTGAAGAGGAAACCAAGCGCGGGGGGCTCTTATCCCGTGTACATCCCCTGCAACTCCAACCGAGGGTGGTATGGGGAGTGGTTTTATATCAGGAACCCAGTGGAGGCACCGTTCCCGACGTTCATTGGCAAGAGGCCGGAGAGGCGGGATAGTTGGTCATGGGGCCCTTCCCGTCGAGAGAAGAAGAAGGTGGAGATCATCGAGGAGGAGCTCCAGAAGCTCGTGTAGCGCGGCCTTGATGCGGTGTGGGTGTTCCACACCCTCTACCACTACCGGGTTGCTTCGTTGGTGGAGAGGGTGCGACCGATGTGGAGGTACGGCGGCCCGTCGGACCCTGATCGTGCGTCACCGGAGGAGCTGCCGAATGACGAGGTCTGG